GAGGCAAGACAAAACTAACACAGAATCAAAAGAACGACGGGTAACAAACGGGCCTGATAAATGCTGGAAAGAACTGGCAGGGGAGTGAACGAAGAGCAGGGACTAAATAGGGAGAAACTAATCAGGTGCAGCTGGTGGTAATCTGGGGGTAAGAAACAGGTGTGAAGGAAAACATGAGCAGGGTAAGGGAGTGAAAACAGAGAGAGGGGAGTGAGAAAGTAGGTGCAGCCGGGCAAACCTGACACACACAGCTACTGCCACTGGTAGACACCTCTTTGAGCTGTGGGCCTGGCCGGAGTTCTTGTTTCTTACATTACAAGGTAAAAGAGCATCATGTTTCTGCTAATTGCAGTAGAAGATAATTATATGTAGTGCCCAGGAGAAGGAAGAATAGGCGCTGAGCTGAACTTTGATTACCAGAAACAGGCCTAAAACAACAACATTTGAAATGTGACAGGGAGCCCCACTTGGCGCAGTTCCCTTGTAAGAGGACACAAGTCAGAGAGGTTGGGAACCACTTGTTTAGTCTTTATAAATCCACAGTATTTCTTAGTCTACTTTTATTTTGGCTCATGGCATCAAATTTCACCTAACAGGGGGCTGTAACTACAAGAGCCGCATTCTCAGACCACACAGCCCCCGCCCTCCCAACTGGATTTCACCAGCCACACCAACCGAATGTCCGCGGGGAAGCATCCACACACGTCTCCTGACTTGGCTGCTTTTCTTGGTGACAAACAGGTAACGATACTGTGCCCCGAGCCTGCATTTCACTGCTGTGAAGTTAAACTTCTATTAAAAACATCTCAGTACAGCCTGCAAGGGCTCAAACAGAAGAATCCATTTTAACGGGTAGACTAGCCCAGTCGGACTGTGCGCTGCTTTGGCAAAATGAACGAGTCCTGTGAGCCCGATTTACAACAAGTTATCGTCTCCTTTGTATCAGAAACATTGGCCTGTATCTCCCCATCTTCTTTTGGCTTATTACACCCAGATGGCCGAGCTGCACAGGCAGCAGACAGTTGCCACCCCAGTCCGGTATCGTCCTGTATTTGTCCAAGTTTTGCGCACATTTTAATCCATACATTTAGGATCCACACAGGTGATGGCATCCTCATTTTAAGTTGAAAATCATGCTAGTTTCAAATAGTTTTGAAGCCGGGGGTGTAAAGACAAGACTGTTATCTAATCGCTGTGTTCCTCCACTAACCACAGATTTGGCGCACTCTGCCTGCTGTTTCCCACAGTGAAACACCAAGGCAGCAGCTGTGGACCGTTTGTCACTCGATTTAAACGAATAACAGTTTGTTTTTTAGTGACATTCGGTGCATCTAGCAGCGTTAACTGAGAGGAGGAGCATATAGAAAAGAGTGGAAGACCACATAGCTCCCAGTGAGTCCTACAACAGATTAAGAAGTAGGTGGAAGGAAGTTGGTTTCATCTAAAAATGTTATACATTAATAAGTACCAAAGTGTGAAATTAGCCCAGACTAGTTATTTTATGAACGAAGAAAAGAAAATATGTCTAGTGTTATTTACTGTAGCGCTGTCCAGTCTGAATCCGAACCTCACGCCTTTTAAAAAGAAAATTAAGTAAAAAAAAAAATAAAATAAAAACTTGCAGAAGAAGCAACAGTAAAGCAGCTGCTTTTCTTGTTTATGTTCAGTTTCCTTGGTAGTGTTGGTGTATCACTTTAAGAAACGAGTCTGTTCAAAGTGGCACAGGATTTTATAATTTACTATTTTTAGCAGGCTGCCTTTGAGGAAACTGAAATCAGTACTGTGTATGACTTTAAGACACGTAGATACTGTGGCTATAGTCTACACCCTTTACATCTATTACCTCTCCAATGTTGATATTAATGATTAAGAGAGCACTCCCAACATGGCCTACAGCTTCATGTCCGGGCAGATTCTTAGTCATCCAGGTCACAGTAAGCTGAAAAAACTGGACTAGGTTTTAGGTCGAAGACGTTGCCGCCAGCAGGTTTGGGTTCAGATACAAGGACTTCTACAGCAGCGTTTAGACGCAGCTCAGTTTATTTATATGTGATTCACTTTGAATGCGATTTGTATATGCAAACTGCACCATTCAGTTATTCTCTGGTGTTGATAATGATGACTGACTTGTCACGCCCGGCCACAGTTTACAGCTCCACGGGATCAGCTTCTGTTACCACAAACACCGGCGCTTAAGTGGCCACAGCTGTGCGTCTTGGCTGCGCGTAAAGTCGACTTTTAAGGCTTTTGTGTTGTTTTCGTTGGCTGTTCTTATCGGGCAGCAGTAGCCTATTGATATGCAAACAAATTAGGGGCATATCATTTCCTGTGTTTCAAAATGATGCCTTTGCGCACTACTGATGTTAATAAAAGTGGAGCCTGGAGTGCACGCGCAGATTTAGACTTCTTACAAAATATTTCTGTGAACGTGTCTATCGTTGTGCCTGCACAGAAACTGAGTCGTATCTACTCTAATTTTCATTCACCGTGCAACCCAGGTGTGTTGACATCCAGTTATGGTTTGTATTTAAGTTGTAAGGCTTGTGCGCAAAATCATCTTTTCTGGCATTAACAGTCTTGGATGTTTCTTTATCTGTTAAGTCCAAATTCCTCCCGGAGATGGAAATTGGAAAACAGAGGTAAGATAAACCACACGTGGCCACATTGACACGAAACTGCTCAGCAGTGTGATAATACCTGATCATTTCTGTTGTAGCCCAGCATGTTATGAGGCAGCTCGTTAACCAGGGAAAAGTGAAATACCACCTGTGTCTGAAACAAAGCGGGTCCCATTCGGTTTACAGAAGCCCCAGAAGAGCCACGCCCTGTGCATCGAGGTTATATTAATTGCGCTCAGACACGGTAGCGCCCTACATGGTCTGCATGAGCCTTACAGGAAATTGTTAAGGGTGGATGCCGTCCGCAATTACAGAATACTACGGAAAGATGAAATGATCTGACAGGTTATGGAGGAATGACTGAGGCTCAGGGTACGTTAACACCTTTTTATATCAGTTATAACCTTTTGTAGGCTGTATAATATATATTTGGTTTAACCTACTTAAAGTTCGAGGGGGAAACGTGTTCACAGATTTTGGAGCTATGAAGATGTCCTAGGCAAAACAATCAAAATAAGCAATTCTAATTTCATGAGTAGCCCTATCTGTCAACACTGAAAAATGCATGATACGCTTAAAATCGTTAGTCTAAATGGGTAAGAAGGTGTTAGACTCTTAAATGGTGTGTTTTGCTTGGTTACACCAGCACCTTCGTAGTCCTGTTAACGGTATCATTGTTTTAATAGGAGTTAATTTTCTAGTAGATAAACTCTGCTCGTAATTCAAATTTAAATATCACCGAACCTGAAAAGGAAAAGTAAGAAAACGCACTTAAAACATAAAACGAACCAATCTATGCAAAAGACAAAATGAACATTTGACGAAATTAAAATTAACATTTTAACATGTATGTAGTACATATAATATTTCATGCTATTAAAAAGTCCCTGCTATTAAACCAGAAACGTTGCGGTTGCTGACAAGTAGTTAGTTATACCATGGCTTTGTGGTATACACCGAGTTGTTTAAACATTCATCAAATTTCTTGTCTGACTGGTTCAGCCATGTCCTTTAGATAGGAAAATTTGCTTTTGTTCAGTTCTCAGCATGGGGTTGATATTAAGAGCTTAGTATAGAAGTTAAATGATATTTAACGAATTTGGCCCCATAGAAGTGGGTGTATAAGGCCATGCCATCATATTTCTTAAGGGCCCCACAATAAGTAACACCATTTTCCAATTCTAACCTACCCTTAAAACAAAGTAGGTATGTGGATTGACACACTTTGTGTGTAATGCTGTTTGCGCTCAGGTTAAACAGTGTCTGACTCAATATGTTAAAGTTTTACAATTTGATCTGCTCTCCTAGTTTTGTGCTTGTCTATCTGCCCTGTAGTGACATACTATGTTTCTGCTGCTTGAGAGCCATTCCCCTGAGCAGGCAGCAGCCTATTATAGGTTATTCGCTGCATAAGTTTCTTCCTCTGGTAAGCTTACATCTTTTAGCAACGATCTGCAAGCGTTTGGGAACTGAGACCAATTGCTTTAGTTTAAAAAGAAATGTTTTCCTCTTTCTGCTTGATAAGGATTTCACCTGCTCAACGGTTTTAATGCCTCCTTCGTCGTGTTTCCTACCTCATAATGTGCCAAATGTTTTCAGAGAGTTGCAGATGGAGTTCAACCACTTTAACCCCCATACTCTTATCATGAAGCTGTTGTTAAGGTAGCTCGGACACGGAAATGAACAAGCAATAAAGACAGACCCAGGTAGCTGGGTTCAGTGCAAGTAGTGACAGATTTAGTGACAGTGTAAGTCAAAAGTGCAATAAACAGATAGGTGCTGAATGGTAAGGAATAACCGGGTGTCGATCTGAGGCAGAGAAAAACAGTTACTGGTGAGATGGATGGTTATGGATCGGGCTGCGGACGCTGGGGTCACTCCTGAGCTGGTCGTGGTTGAAGTGATCATGGCTGAGGAGACAGGAGCATGCATATGTGACCGGGCAAATATACAGGCCTAGGCAACTCAGACCATAGTAACTTTTAGTAGTTCCCCAAGAATAACACCCCTCCTGTTTTCAGAGGCCAAATTCATGCAAATTTCACCAGTACTTTACCTCTGAATGACACAGCCTTACTTCTCTTTGTATACCCGATCATGACGCTGACCTGTTGCCAATTACCCTAGGTTTTGTGAGGTGTGTGTTTTAATCCTAACATAACTTTTCCAGTCTTTTGTTGCCCCATCCCAACATTTTTGTTGCTGGCATCAAATTCTGAATAAACGTATCTAAACCAAAATCTATAAATGTGAACATTAGATGTCTGTTACCAAACATCTATGGGGTAAAGGGATTTTCAAAATCTTTCATTTAGTTTTTATTTGTGTCCCAGCTGTTACAGAGTTTGGGTAGTCTTCACCACTGCTATATAATTAAAAAATATGCATAAAAGGTATTTTAAATTGTTAAACTTACAACTTAAGGTTTGTGTGTGCTGCCAAAATTGTGTGTGCCATTTTGTGTAAAGTGTTTTGCAGCATGAAAGATATCAATATTTTACAGTATAGAGTTACAGAATTATTTGCTTTTGTTAAATAAAACAAATGTGTTCAAGGTAAAGGAAAAAATATTCCTTTTGGAATTGATACCAAAAATTAGGTATCATTATCAGCACCAATTTTTATTTATTTATTTATTTTTATTTAAGTGGTAACTTTGGTTCCATTTACTTTACAGATGTGTGAATTCAAACCAGTGAGCTTTTGCATGGACTAATTTAGAACCGGTGTTAACACTTCCTTCTCTGTTCGCAGAGTTGTCGTTTTGTCCTTGAGCCTACAGCTGTCTTCACTGTCTGAGGATTTCAGTCTGTACTAAAGTTGGATGTCTGTATTTTTCAGCAATGGGGTATTGTAAGATACAGTACGTCCTTCAAAATTCCTTGTGTGCACATTTCATAGTTTTCACATGATGGCACATCTTTACACGAGTGCGCCACCTGGAAGGCAAAACAAGTCTTTCTTGCTCTGCCCACCACCTAGTTTTACCAGGTTTGTTTAGCCAAACTTCTGGCTAGACACTGGAAAAGCTGTTTTGATTAGGTATATGTCATGAAAATATTAATGCCTTGTCACTCATGCCCTAGAATGCTGACCACAGTGACCCTGAAACTGACACATGGATCGATGTTGGGTAGCTAATTAGCACTCACCATCACTTGAAGAATTTCTTGTCCTTCACCTCCCACACAGTAGCATTATTGACCCACCCACATATAGCTGTCTGTACTACAAAAGCTTTTATCTTCATCCTAGTTGCAGTCTAAAAGGAGGGATTCTCCACAGATTATACGTAAACAATGCCAGAGTTGGGCAGGGACTTTGCGGCCGTGGGGCTTAGCTACATCAGCAAGGTCCAGGGCAGAGCTCATTCACAGCAGAGCAGACAGTGGGGTGAACCCAGCGGTCTGGTTGCGTTCACGTAAAATCCTTCCTGGAGGGCGGTGTTTGTGCTTTAGAACGTAACCACTGTGAAACTGAGGAAATGTTTTCTTTGATTCACTGCTTTGTTTTGATAGCACCGCTCGCTCTCTTCATATACATGTTAGCCTGCATAGTCACTGTTGCTCTCTGTCTCTTTGTGGCATGGATTTATAACGGACAAAGTGAAATTTGGGTACAAAGATCAACTAGAATTACAGTTTTATGCCTCTGCCAACCAATCAAATTCATATGAATGGGACAGATGTGAGGTCACGGACCTCGACCTTTGACCACCAAAATCTAAGACCAATCAAGTGGACATTTGTGCTAAATTTGAAGAAATTCCCTCAGTTTTCCTGTTATCTTGTTCATAAGAATGGGACAAGCAGATAGATGGACAACCCAGAAACATAACGGCAGTGGCCATCACTGAAGGCATAGACAACTTCTCTCATGAACAACTCTCCTCGCTTCATTCCCACCAACGAGCATTTGGACAGAAGCACTAGAAAATTAACAGGGCTGTGCTGCAGTCCTTCTGACTGACCAGTGTTAGCTGCCATATTGGAAAGTGGTTTCGCCCTCCAGGGCCCTTTTGCTGTCACAAGGCTGAAAACTATGAATTGTGCCGCACGGCTTTGTGTACTCCTGAAGCATTTAGTTTTGTAGAACTTTCTAAACTGAGATTCATTGATTACTGTTTAATCTGAGTGTCTTGTCTGTATCCCTGCAGATGCGTTCATAAAACAAGGAGTATTTGGAAAATTATGCTAATCTTGTGTGTTCCACTGTCGTGTGTTCTTATCTTCAGATCTCTGGTATTTACGTGAGTACCAAAACAATTCCCTATTTAAATTTAGACACCACATACTTAGTTGCCAGTTTATTAGGTACATGTAGCTGAAATTAATGGTGCTGTGTGAAGGTGATTGTTTTTAGTGAAACTGTTTGAGAAGTATGGAGTCAATTGTATGGTTCTGGAAGCTGTAGTTTGTGGTGCTGTTAATCTGTATTTTGTTGTCCTGACATATGTTTCTATTATTTTGTCCAACCATTTATATGAGTGATGCACAGAGAACAAACGTACAGTCTTATGCAAAAGTTTAGGCACCCCTTGATAAATAACAGATTTTGGTGATTTTTTATTTGAACAGATGTTAACACAGTTTCTCTTGGAAATGGAAAAAATGCACAATATTTTCTGCAAACAGTGATGCATAGTTACTTCTTATGCCATAAATTGAACAAAAATAAAAAATAAAAACATGATTATGGCATGGTGCAAAAGTTTGGGCACCCTAAGAGTTCCAGAGTCTCAAAGTCTCTCACAAGGTATCAGACCTTAATCAGCTCGTTAGATCTGATGCACAGCAACAGCTGTCATTGGTAAATGCCAATTTCAAAGCTGTACAAATACTTTGACTCTTCAAACCTTGTGCACACACTTGTGGACACCCAGCAACCATGGGTTCCTCTAAGCAGCTGTGTAAGACCCTGAAAATGAAAGTTATTGATGCCCACAATGCAGGAGAAGGCTACAAGAAGATAGCAAAGCGTTGTCAGCTTGCAGTTTCCACAGTAAGAAATGTAATTAAGAGATGGCAGATCAGGGGAACTGTGGAGGTCAAGATGAGATCTGGAAGACCAAGAAAACTCTCGGACAGAACTGCTCGTATGCTGGTCAGAAAGACAAATCAAAACCCCCATTTGACTGCAAAAAACCTGCAGGAAGATTTAGCAGACTCAGGAGTGGTGGTGCACCGTTCCACTGTGCAGCGATGCTTGCACAGACAAGGCCTTCATGGAAGAGTCAGCAGAAGAAAACCTTATCTGCGTCCCCATCATAAAATCCAACGTCTGAAGTATGCAACAGGACATCTACAGAAGCCCGATGCGTTTTGGAAACAAGTGCTGTGGACTGATGAAGTTAAAATAGAACTCTTTGGACACAATCAGCAAAGGCATGTTTGGAGAAAAAAAGGAGCAGCATTTCATGAAAAGAACACCTTGCCAACTATTAAGCATGGGGGTGGATCTATCATGCTCTGGGGTTGTGTTGCAGCCAGTGGCACAGGAAACATTGCACGGGTGGAGGGAAGAATGGATTCCACTAAATACCAGCAAATTCTGGAAGCAAACATCACACCATCTGTAAAAAAGCTGAAGCTGAAAAGAGGATGGCTTCTACAACAGGACAATGATCCTAAACATACCTCGAAATCCACTATGGAATACCTCAAGAGACGCAGGCTGAAGGTTTTGGAATGGCCATCACAGTCCCCTGATTTAAACATCATTGAAAATTTGTGGGTAGATCTTAAAAGAGCTGTGCATGCAAGACGACCAAAGAATATTACAGAACTAGAAGCCTTTTGCAAGGAAGAATGGGAGAAGATCCCAAGTACAAGAATTGAAAGACTTTTAGCTGGCTATGAAAAGCGTTTGCAAGCTGTGATATCTGCCAGAGGAGGTGTTACTAAGTACTGATTGTGTAGGGTGCCCAAACTTTTGCACCATGCCATAATAATGTTTTTATTTTTTATTTTTGTTCAATTTATGGCATAAGAAGTAACTATGCATCACTGTTTGCAGAAAATATTGTGCATTTTTTCCATTTCCAAGAGAAACTGTGTTAACATCTGTTCAAATAAAAAATCACCAAAATCTGTTATGTATCAAGGGGTGCCTAAACTTTTGCATAAGACTGTAAACACCAAACGGCAGACAGGCAGTGGACCTTATTCACTAACATGCGCATAGAAATGTTCTTACCTTGTGCACAAAATAAGTGCAGGAGACATTACCATCATATTCATGACACCAGCCAATTTTGTTCTTTCTATTGTGTGTATGTTAGTGTAAATCAGAATCATTCTAAAATGACAGGCGCATTCCAGTGGTTTTCAAGTAGCCTGCTGCCATGCCCCCATTTCTCTATATACTTATAAACTAGAACAGTTTTTTAAATTTAATTTGAGGCTAAAGACGACTGTCAGTCTCCCTCGGACTGGGGCGCCATGCAAGATCTCACCTCGTGGGGTATCACGGATGATAAGAAAGGTGAGGAATCAGCCCAGAACTACAAGGGAGGAGCTGGTCAATGACATGAAGAGAGCTGGGACCACAGTTTCAAAGGTCAGGTAGAACGCTACGTCATCATGGTTTCAAATCATGCATTGCACGGAAGGTTACACTGCGCAAGTAATCACATGTCC